ATGTGAACCGATTTTCATGAAACTTTGAACACGTCATTCTAGACTTAATTCAGAACGCTATGACAAATTTCGTGTAAATCAAATGATTATCAGAACCTTTGGTGCACTAATTACCTCAAATCGGATGAAAATATATATGGGAGCTATATCTAAATCTGAACCGATTTTCATGAAACTTTGCACACGTCATTCTAGACTTAATTCAGAACGCTATGACAAATTTCGTGTAAATCAAATGATTATCAGAACCTTTGGTCCACTAATTACCTTAAATCGGACGAAAATATATATGGGAGCTATATCTAAATGTGAACCGATTTTTCCCAAATTTCAATAGACGTCGTCCTTGGGCTAAATAAGTGACTTGTGCCAAATTTCATCCAAATCGGATCATAAATGTGACCTGTTTACAATTTAACATCCACAGACGGACGGACGGACGGACGGACATGCATAAATCGACTTAAAAAGTGATTCTATGTATATTCTCTAAAGGAGCCATGTGCCTATTTCGTTTCCTTTTGCCTGTTACAAACATATACACAAAGACATAATACCCTGTACCACAGTGTGGTGAAGGTTATAATTATGGATATTTATAAAATATTTATATTATATTTAAAATATTTATATTATTTATAGAAATTTTGTTCGTGCGCCATCTACTTGTCAATCTTATTGACTAAACACTTGTGGTTTATGTCTATGATATACAGCGAAGTTGTTACCTATTGTGAGTAACCATGTGCGCCATGCATTCGATATAATTATTTTCATCGCTTGCCAACACTGATATATTGTTAGATGTTACAAAAAAATAATAAAAATTTCAGCGTTTTGTGAATTAACACAAATAAGGTATCATATTAAAGGGTAAAATGTTGTCTTTATTATAGTATCGGCAAATTTTATTTTAAACCCCCATTTAAGGTTATAATTTTTAAAGAGATATTTTAAAATAAATTTTCTTATATAACGGTTTATATATATATAATTTTATGACCAGATATCGAAATAGTCAGAGTTCTTAGCTTTCATATGACACCAATTTTATTACCATACGCCCAGTATTGTAGTTTAATTTTTTCATTTTCACCAGCACGGTAGATGGCGTCCCAGTCGCAAAATTGACAGGTCGTAAGGCGAAAAATCAAGGTTTTGGTAAAATTCACATAACTTTCGAATGCTTTGAGATATTTCGCCAATTCCAACGACTACTTAAAGCTTTAAGAGTTCTCTTTCGATGTCGAATTTGTTCGGCTAAAAAACTTGCCTAGAAAGCCATGTAATAATTCTTAACATTATTGTTTAGTAAAAATTTCCTACTTCTCTTAGGTATTTGATGTGGATTTGTAGCACACAGACAAACAATGAGTTCTAAGCTGCTCATAACCGTTTAAATTTTTCAAAAATCACAATTCGTTCAAAAGTTATTGCATTTCTACCAAAACCTTGATTTCGCCTTACGACTTGCCAATTTTGCGACTGGGACACCATCTATTGGTGCCGTAGATCGTGCTGGTGAAAATTAAAAAAATTAATGTTCTGGTATTTTTGCCATAACTTTTGAACTACTAGGCGTATTGTAATAAAATTGGTGTCATATGAAAGCTAAGAAGTCTGGCTATTTTGAAATCTGCTTGGATTTTAATAAATATGATTGTTTTTATGTGAAAAATTATTTTGAAAAATATGTTTGTAAAATGTCACTTTAAGCTGGATTTAAAAATGAAAAATTCCTTTTCTATAGTGAAGAAAAATATCTCACCTTTAATATGACACCTTATTTGTGTGGTTAAAAAGTTACATCCGGTGGTTAAAAAGTTACAGCTGATGGAAGACAACTGTGAAGAAAAGCCCATAAGGAAAATTGACAAGTTGGACTGTGTCGACTGGGTATATACAAGAGATGCTGGTACGATTCCTATAGTAACCTACATTAATCTGGAGTTAAATTTATTTAAAATCGGACTAAGGTGTGAGAGCTATATGTAAATCTGAATCGATCGATATAAAGTAAATGGCTAACACATATAAATGTTCCGCCCAATTTTCAATATTTAGTTTCTTGGTTGGGACACTTTTTTGTTTTTTGTTAAAATATTTCTTTATTAAATTATTTTTTTTATTATTATAAATTGTAACAATATCGTTTTTTATTAACTTTACTTATATAAAGATTCTTATATTTAAAAATATATATTAAATATTAGTTTATATAATGAAATAATGAAAATAATGCATGTTTTTTTTTATTTAACAAAAAAAAATGTTGTGTTAAATTAATTTTAATATATTTTAATATACAAAACTAAAAAAATTAAATATTTACTTATAGAACATATTTTTGTTTTCTTTGTTTAATATTATTTTATAAAAATCTAATATATTTTTATTTATAACATTTTTAATAATATGAATTACACTAGTAATAAATAAGATCATTTTTCAATAATTTGTGCATGCTTAAAATTGTTTATGTATATAATTTTTTACAATTAAAATAATATAAGAAAAAAAAATTAAAATTATGCATGTTAAATTAATTAAGGTATTAAATTAAAATTAAAAAGAAAATAATAATTAAAAATTATATTGCCATGTGTGTAATGATGAATTTTTATTCATTAAAAATAAAATTCAATTTTTTTTTTTTTCAATTATTTCTAAATTCATGGGGACAGACACAGAAACAAATTTAAAGAGAGGGTGAAGGAAACATTTTTTCAAAGTCTTCTTAAAAAAAAATATTTTTTAAAGGATTTTTTTAATTGCTGTAATTTTCAATAACAGAAGTTTAAGGAGACAATATATTTTTAAGAATGTGGATTTAAAGAAAAGAATTTTTCGAGGCCCTGATTTGATTTTTTGTTTTTTTTTTTTTTTTTTTTTTAATGGTGTTGTCAGTTAAGGATGAACGGGAGCTAAGAAATTTGTATTAGTATTTTTTTAATATATTTTTTATGAATGTGAATTAAAAAAAAACCATGTTTTCAAGAATAAAATATATTTTCAGAGGCCCTGTTTTGATTTTTTTTCATTGTGTTGGAGAGGGGGTTAAAGAATTTAATTTTTGGTTCCGCAGATCCTAAAAGAAAATTATTTTTTTCTCCATTTAAAAAAAAATTTTGTCTGCCCTCATATGGGGATGAGAGGAAGTTGAGTTTTTTTCCTCTTTTCCTGAAAGAATTTAATTTTTTTTAATAAATCTGCCGACTCATGCTGTTATTATTCGTTCGTAAAGTCGAATGTTGCCAAAAGTCGTATGTCCCCAAAACCACCCCTTATAATTAATTGGGGACTGTATATAAAAAAATGAAGCTTTAATTTTTTTTAAAGAAGTAAAAAACCCATCCGAATTTCAATGAGAGAAGGTTAAAAAGAAAACATTTCAAAGTGTTGAATAAATATTTTATATTTTTTATATTTTTTAAGGTCCTAATTTAATTTTCCCCCATTCAAATTTTGTGTTTTTTTTTCATGGTGGTGTCTGTGAGGAATACGAGTGGGTTAGAGAATTTCTTTTTAAGAGAGTGGATTTATAAACCTTTTTATCCATACGAATTTTGTGTGTTTTTTTTAGTTCCAGAAAGATAATTAATTTTGTTTTCTCCAATAAAAAAATCTGTGTCTGTCCTCCGAATCTTGAAACCCATGTTTTGTTGTTACGGATCATTCATATATGGAACCTTAATGAAATACCAATCGAGGAAATTTTCAAATCGAGAACATTTTCCATAATGAGACCATAGAGATTTATTTTACAATCTGAAATTCCCACACATACATATACTGCCGAAATCGTGTATAATCACGATCAAGGAACTGGCGACCGAGTTCGCTATAAGACATGGTCTTTATAAGCAATATCAATGGTCAAGAGCAGAACTTTTTTCGGTAATTTTTAAAAACCTTCCTTATAACCAGTATTTGCTAAAAACGTTATCATTATAAACGATTTCAATTGTGTATGTCCATCTATGTCCTTTTCGTTTGTATATTTGTATACAAATATGTACTTTTTGCCATTTAATCTTTAGGACGGATTTATGCAACAAGATGTCGTGATGTGGATTTTTTTTAAGTTAAATAAAAAAAATTTCGGATTTTTTGAATTAAAAAAATATTCTTCAGAATTAAATTAAGGAGTCGATTTTTTCACATTAAAAAAAAAAATATTTCTTATAATTACAATCTTTTATAATTTGTAATTCTTTATAATATCGATTGGTTAATGATGCTGTTGAAAAAAAAGTTGATTTTTTGAATACAAAAAAAGAATTATAGTTACATTTTGATAGTTGTTGATTCCTCCTGAATTCGATTTCTTGACAATGTAAAAAAAATTAAATAATTTTTTATAAATAAATTTGTGCTCGGATTTTTTTATTTGATATTTCTAGAAGTAGATTTTTTGAAATTAAAAAAAAACAAGAAGTATTTTTTTTGAAATTTAAAAAAAAAAACATTTTTTATAATTACAATTTTTTTAATTTGTAATTCTGTAATGATATCGATTTTTTATCATTTTATTTTTTTAATTAATATAATTTTGAATATATATTTTTTGTGATAAATTTTGATCTTTTGGAAGACAATGCATACGTATATAATTTTTTTTTAATATTTTTAAATTATATATATATATTTATTTTTATATAATATAAGATAAATAACAATATTTATATTTAAGTAAATACAATTTTTTATATAAACGTTTTTATTTATATTAAAAATTATAAAAAAAATAATAAAATTATTTAAGAATCCCGGGCATAATACCCCATTTTTTTTAATTTACTTACATTTAACTAACAAAAAATTATAAAAATAAATTAACTTATTTTTGTTGTTATTTTTTGTCACTACACTTCTCTTTCTCTCTCTGTACACAGTCTTTAATAAAAATTAAAATTAGAAACAATTAAAATTAAAAAAATAAAATAAAAATAAATTCTTTATAAAAAACACATTTTTTGTAAGCCTCCCTTCCCTCCCCACTAAACTTCCGTACTATGCGTTTGTATTCTCACTTTTTTCACACTACCATTCCTACGCATTGGCGGTGAATTACCCGATCCGGAGTACCCTGGATTTTGTATACCCAATGCTGGGTCGGGTCGTGGTCGTGGTTTTTTCAAACTTGAACGCAGGGGAGATCTGGTAACAGACTCCACAGTGGAGCCATTCGATACACTTGTGACCATGGTGCTCATTGAGGCCACACTGCCGGAGCCATTACGTATGCCAGCATACGGTTTACCGGAGGCATCGGTAACGGAAATACCTGGAAGAAAGGGAAATTTTTCAGATTTTTTATAAAAAATAAAAAGAAAATTGTAGACTCACCATTTTTGGTTTTCGGCTCCTTGAAACCGGGATTATTTATCGTTGTCGCCGATGATGGTGAGGCGGCATCAATGATCATTGTTGGATCACCACCGGGACGTTTCGAATATAAGACATCGTATAGGGCCAATACAAATAGGCCTATGCTTAAAACAATAACAACAATCTGTTGAAAATAGTTGAATAGTTGAAAAAATTAGTTTAAAAGGGACAAACATTTGCAATAATAAAATAATGGACCTATCTGGACCAAGTTTCTGGAAATATGTTTTTCATCCTCAAAGAACCTGGAATCCTAAATGACAGCCACATTGGAGGGATAATGTGGTTCAAACTTTCAATATATGTTTCTCAACCTCCTAGAACCCGCAATTGCAGTCTCCTCATTTGGAAAATGCGGTTAGAACCTTCAAAATTCACAAAACGGGTCGGGAGGATCATAAGTAGGCTATGTAAAAACAATGGACCTATATCGGAAATTTTCTGCAAAGATATTTTCCAGCCTTCAAGAACTCACAATTGCAAATTAAAGACACTTCGGATGGACAATGCAGCTAGAGCCTTGAAAATAGGCACTTCGATTGGAAAATGTGGCTAAAAACCTTCAAAACTCTTAAAATTGGTCGGAACCTGTATATTGGGGTTATATAATGTTCTGGGAAGAAGTTTATTACTCTTTACGAACCCTAAAACCAAATTAAATTCAACTCGGCGGGAACATTCGGATACAACCTTCAAAATAAGGCAAATGGGGCTGGAAGCTATGTGAAAATATGGTCCTATATTCAACATTTTCTGCAAATATGTTTTATAGGCTCTAAGAACCCAGAATACCAAGTTACAGCCATTTCGGTTGAATAACGTACCCGAAATCCGCAGAATATCGAGTCTCTAAAAGTGTCTGAAATCCTCAAAAAGTCGAAAATTTGGAGGATTCCGAAAATTTACCGATATTGATCATTTTTGGTAGGAGGATTTGCAGCCCAATGAGAACTCCAAATACCAAATTTGAGCCAGTTCGGTTGGAAAATGTATCTTAAATTTTCAGAATATCGAAAATTCGGAGGTTTACTTATGTGAGGGCTATACCCAAAAGTGGTGCGATTTTGATAATTTTTGGTAGGGAAATTTCGAACCCTTTGAGAGCCTAAAATGCAGAATTCGAGCCACTTCTGAATTCTCAGAATGTCGAAAAGCAGTGGTTACCCTTATATAGGCGCTATACCAAAACTTGAACCGATATTGATAATTTTTGGTTGGAAGATTTTTCACCCAATGCGAACCCCAAATACCAAATTACTGCCATTTCAGATGGAAAACATGTGTGAAATACTCAAAATATCGAACGATCGGTTGTACCCTTATATGGGGGCTATACCCAAACCTGGAACGATTTGCATAATTTTTGGTATGAAGGTTTGCAACCCAATGTGAACCCTAAATATAAAATTAGAGCCACTTCGGTTGGAAAACGTGTCCGAAATCCTCAAAATACCGAAAATTCGGTGGTACCCTTATATGGGTGCTATGTTTAAACGTGGAGCGATTTTCATAATTTTTGATTGGAAGATTTTCCACCCAATGCGAACTTCAAATACAAAATTACAGCCACTTCGGTTCAGAAACGTGTTTTGGTAGGAGGATTTGCAACCCAATGCGAACCCCAAATGCCGAACTTGAGTTACTTCAGTAGAAAAACGTATCGGAAATCCTCAAAATATCGAAACTCGGAGGGTACTCTTATATGGGAGCTACCCAAAACTTTGACCAATATTTATAATTTTTGGTAGAGAGATTTTCCATCCAATCAGAACCCAAAATATAAAATTACTTCCAATTTGAATGAAAAACATTCCCAACTCTTCAAATTAGTAGGTTCCGTTATATGGTAGCTACCCTTAAATGTGCTCCAATTTGAATAATTTTTGGTATGGAGGTTTTCTATCCATCGAAAATCCAAAATATAAAATTACAGCCAATTTGGATGAAAAATGCGCTCAAGCTCCCCTAAATCCCGAAATTTGGGAGGTATCTATAAAAGGGAGCTACCCTAAATATGTTGACCAATGTCAACAATTTTTGATACGGAGATTTGCTACCCAATCAGAAGCCAAAATACGAAATAACAGCCAATTTTGTTGAAAAATGTGCTCAAGCTCCGCAAATTAGAAGGTTCCGCTATATTGGGTCTACCCTAAAAAATGGACCAATAATGATAATTTTTGGTAGGTAGATTACAAACGGAATGACAAATTTCCACTGCACCTTATGGTGGAGGTTATCAAAAAAATGTAATAACTTACCTGTAAATAAAATGATATCCCTCGGGAGACACGGAACCCATACTTCTCCGATTCATCGATTTGTACAGCAAACATAACAGTTGCCACCAAGGCCAGGATACCTAAACAAAAAGCAAAAAAAAAACAACAACAATTAAAATAAAATCCAAAATTAAATAAAAAAAATCCTCCCAAAAAAACTTACCCGCCGTCAAAGCCAATATCAACTTCGTCATTACCAACGATGTGTAGGACATAACAACTTTCTCGCGGGACGATATCATGGCGATCTGTATAACAGATAACACACAGAACAAGCCCAAGGCACTGGAACTCAAGATGGCCATAATGCCGCTTATGAAAATGGCCGCTAAAAATAAAGAAAAAAAATATTTTCAATTTCAAAAATTCCGAACTTGGTGAAAGAGAATCTCCTTCCAACTTACATGACAGCCTAAATTTCGATACATCATTGCCGCATTTTTCCCGATTGTAGGCCAATTGTTTGCATACCTTAAAGGGGCCAAAATAGCCATGATCGAAGTCGTAACCCCCTGAGGGTGAATCGTAATAACCCCAAATCGGTATACCAATGGCCGCTGAGGCCAATGCAAAACAAATGAAACCCAGACAAGTTACGCCGGCAGCATAGAGAGCAATTTTCGATTTGGCCATGTTTTGGTCATCACCATAGTCCAGACCAGACCCGAAGAAGAAGTTCAAGATAGTTTTCCCTTTTTTATGACGAAAATATCCGCACTAGTCCTTTATGATATTTGGTATTGAGGAGAGATCAAAACAAAGGCTGAAAAGAAACGGAAAAGATTAGTCAAGGGGAATTGGAATATTTTTCGATGGGTATGATAAAAAATTATTAGAAACAATCCAGGTATTATTTAAAAAATATTCGGTTAGTATTTTCATAAAAAAAACGGATAATCCGGATAAAATTTAAAACAAAAGAAATACCCGGATAATATTTTTAAACAAATACATGCAGGGATAATATTTTTTTATAGAAAAAATCATCTGGATAATAAAAAAATCCGGATAATGTACTTTACAGAAACTATCCGGATAATTTTTTTTATAAGAAAAACATATCCGGATATTATTTTTTATAAGAAAAACATATCCGGATATTATTTTTTATAAGAAAAAAATATCCGGATATTATTTTTTATAAGAAAAAAAAAAATATCCGGATAATACTCGGAAAATAGTTTATAGGAAAAAAGATATCATGATAATATTTTTTATAAAAAAAATATCCGGATAGATAGAAAAAAATCATCTGGATTATATTTTCATAAGAAAAAATTATCCGGATAATATTTATTTTGGAAAAAAAAATTATACGGATAAAATTTTTTATAGAAATAAAGTATCCGGATAATATTTTTTTATAGAAAAAAATTATCCGGATAATACATCATTTAGGAAAAAGTTATACGGATAATATTTTTTATAGAAAAAAAATTATCCGGATAATATTTTTTATAAGAAAAAATATATCCGGAGAAAAAAGTATCCGGATAAAATATTTTATAGATAACAATTATCCAGATAAAATATTTTATAGAAAAAAATATCCTGATAATAATTATTTTATAAAAAAAAGATCCAGATAATATTTTTTGTAGAAAAAAATATCCTGGTAATACTTCTTACAGAAAAAAAAAGTGAGCGGAGCAGTATAGTCGGACGCGGCCGACGTTACGATACCCTACACAACTACCACAGAACTCTATCTTTCTGCGGATTTATATTCCGAGCCTGGGTAATATTTCGTAATAGTTGCACCCTCTTGCCCGATTAGAGGTCAGCAGCACCTCCAACTTACACTGACATATTTTCCGAATATTACCAATATTCAGTACATCCCTTCTAATTAATTGTCCATATTCCCTCCACCGTGGACTGTGTTGTGATGTTCGGCTTATAATTGTAGCCTATAGATTAATTGGTCCACTTTATGCCAATATTATTATCTGATCATCACAAAAAATTATAGACGTAGTCCTTGACCGTACCTGGCTCCTCATGGAAAATTTCAAAGCGATCAGCGCTATATTTCCGCCCTCTAGTGTGGTATTGGGTTACTAAATATTATCTGAATACGTTAGCACCTGTAAATATATAAGTGTAACTCCCGCATCCGAGTACATACGACAATATAATTGGTATCAATTTAAAGGTCAACCACTCCTCTTGGATATTCTATCAACTTCTCGGGTCTATGTCCTTTAGGAGTAAATATATACGCAATAGAATACATATTTTGTCATTTTTCACACCAAAGTTAAGGTCTATTTGACCGGCTGAATATTGACAGATCATCAACCATTCTCCATTTAAAATTTCGTGATGTTCGGGCCATAATTGCGGCATCTGGAGCGATCAGAAAAACCGACAAAAATTATGTATTTGGTCCATTTCACCCCTAAATATTAACCGATCCAAAAAACAATAGGGGCCTTCATTGGTCAGAACCCATCCTATATGCAAATTTTCGTGGAGATTGGTCCATAACTGTGACCTGTATCGTGTTTACAAATTATAATAGACAGACGGACGGAATGACACACATGTCTATATCGACTCAGCTAGTCGAGATATGACGGTATACTTAAAGGTGGGTCTAGGACCAACATTTCGCGTCGTTACAAACATTTGGGGCTGCACAAAGCTATAATACCCTGACAACATTGTTGTGTAGGGTATAAAAATATTCAAATAATATTTTTAATAGATTTTTTTAAAGAAAAAAAACAGATAATATAAAAAAATTATCCGGTTTATATTTTCTATAGAAAAAATTATCCCAATTATCCCATCTTCGGATTTGATCTAGACTTGGCAAAAATAACACGTTGTGCAAAATCGTACATTAGCCTGATATTGGATTTGTAAATAATGAAAATGTTGACCCTCTGTGGGGGAGGTACCAATAGCAGTGGACCAATGGGTCCCATCTTCAAACTTGATCTAAGATTGGTAAGGATAATAGATAAAAAAAAAAATAAAAAAAATAAAAAAAAAAATTAATTTTAGCACAATTTTGACCACCTTTTGGGGAAGGTACCAGAAGGAGTGGACTGATATTCCCCATTATCGAACATAAACTAAGTTTGGAAGAAATATTAAAATGTGTAAAGTTTGGATGAAATCGATTATTCCCTTCGAGAGTTATAGTGCGCACCAGCCAGTCAGACAGACAGACGGACAACGGACGGACATGTGTAAATCGTCTCCAAAGTTTCTGAAACGGATTTGATCCAAAGAAAGATGGGGTCTAAAACCAATATTACGATGAGGCACATTTGCACCGTATCAAAGTGTATATACCCTCATTAGCCCCAAGGCTGAGGGTATAAAAAATTATCCGGATAATATTTTTGAAGGAAAAAATTATCTGCATTGAATTTTTTATTGAAAAAAATATCCGTTTAAAATTTTTATAGGAAAAAATTATCCGGATATTTTTATAGGAAAACATTATAGGATACCATTTTTTAAAGAAAAAAATACTCTGATAGTATTTCTTATAGAAAAAAAAAATTATCCGTATAATATTTATACCCTTCACCACACTGTGGTACAGGGTATTATGTCATTGTGCATATGTTTGTAACAGGTAAAGGGAATCGAGATAGACCCATGGTTCCTTTTGAGAATATGCATAGAATCATTTTCTGAGTCGATTTATGCACGTCCGTACATCTGATGATGTTAAATTGTAAACAAAGTACAGGTCGCATTTTTGATTAGAATTGGTTGAAATTTGACACAGCTCAATCATTTGGCCCAAGTACGAACCCTATTTAAATTGGAGAAAATCGGTTAAGATTTAGATATAGCTCACATATATATTTTCGTCCGATTTAATGTAAATCGAAAATATATCTTTCGATTTACAAGAAATTTGGTGAAAATCGGTTCAAATTTATAACACCTCCTATATATATTTTCGTCCGATTTTAAGTAAATGGTGCACTAAAGACCCATTTTATAAGAATATTAACCCCAATAATTATCCGGATAATATTTTTTAACCAAAAAAGAATCTAGATAAGATTTTTTTATAGAAAAAATTATCCGGATAATTTTTTTTATAGAAAATGTAATATTTTTTGATAGAAATAAATTATCCAGATAATATTTTTATAAAAAAAAATCTTTAAAGAAAATTTACGCCCTAATTGGGCCTAGAAGAAATATTTTTTAACAAATCCATGCCTATGTTGACCCCTGAAAAATATTATTATTTAAAAAATCCGAGGCCTAAATTGACGTCTGAAAATAAAAATAAAAAAAATACAAAAAAAATATTCCAAATTTTTTTCTATAAAAAATGTTCCATTTGAACTTCATTTCCGCCAGTCTAGGGACCCTGTCATCTAACTGGGCCATTTTAATAACATTTTTTTCTTTCCTTCTTTGTGGGTGCCACCTTTAGCTCACGTTTTTTATTAACATTTGGTTTCCTGTAGCTTGTTTTTCTTTAACCTCATGCCGTGCATTGTTTAGTCGCTTTGAGCCGGCACTTGTAGTTTAATCAGCCCACTTCTTCCCCCTTCCCTACAACACCAACACCAGCATAGTTGTTGTTTTATTGGACTGACATCGAAAAAAATCCTCAATTGTGGCCCAAAGCTCCCACATAACACTTTTGTTTGGACAAATTTATGTTGGTTGTAACATTTTTCGGTGTGTGTTCGTTCGATGCCGGTTGGTGGCAAAAACAATTCGTGGTGTTGTTACTGTGTTGTTGTTCATCTTATTGTGGTTGTTGCTTTCTTCATTTCTGGGTAAAAATCGTGACATTGGACAGAAAATGGGAAAAACTGTTTCGACCAGAAAATGAATGGCTGTCGCAAAGTAAGCCAAACTTCGTACAGCTCGATTGATATGTTAAAGAGTTTGATTATGAATGGAAAGGCAAAAACAGCAACAATAACAAGAAGTAGAGAAAGAAGAAGCATTGAAACAATGCTTATTCCAGGCGGCTAGATTAGAGATAATCAGCGATGACGAGAATAATGTCATTATGGAAAAAATATTGTAATAAAGAAAATGACACAAGGCAATGATCGGTGGAGGAGAGAGAGGGAGAAAGGAATGAATGTTCGAGAAATCGAATTAAATAAAATCGAACCACTTCGTAACAAAGCAATAGGGGACCCAATGAATTATTACTTTATAGGAAAACTTCGTTCTAGAAAAAAAATTTATTCGGATACATTGTTTTCTATGAATAGTAACCGGTTATTTTTTATACCCTTCAGGGTATTGTCTTTGTGCATATGTTTGTAACAGGCAAAATGAAACGAGATAGACACATGTTTCCTTTTGAGAATATGCATAGAATTACTTTCTGAGTCGATTAACGCATGTCCAACTGTCCATCAGTCCATGTATTTTTGTGAATAAAATACAGGTCGCATTTATGATCCGAATTGAATGAAATTTGGCATAGGTCACTTATTTGGCCCAAGGATGAACCCTATTGCAATTGGGAAAAATCGGTTCAGATTTATATATAGCTCCCATATATATTTTCGTCCGATTTAATATAAAGGGTGTACCAAAGTCCCTATATATCAATCGATTTGCACGAAATTTGGCACAGCGTAACGAATTAGGTCTAGAATGATTTGTGTTAAGTTTCGTGAAAATTGGTTCATATTTAGATATAGCTCCCATACATAT